CCTGCGTCTGTCCGCGGGGTGTCCTGCGTCTGTCCGCGGGGTGCCCTGCGTCTGTCCGCGGGGTGCCCTGCGTCTGTCCGCGGGGTGCCCTGCGTCTGTCCGCGGGGTGTCCTGCGTCTGTCCGCGGGGTGCCCTGCGTCTGTCCGCGGGGTGTCCTGCGTCTGTCCGCGGGGTGTCCTGCGTCTGTCCACGGGGTGCCCTGCGTCTGTCCACGGGGTGTCCTGCGTCTGTCCATGGGGTGTCCTGCATCTGTCTATGGGTGCCCTGCATCCACTGGGACTGGCTGGGCTGGGTCAGTGGCAGCCCACAGGCTGGCTGTGTGCTCTTAGGAGGCATGCCCCCTGCAAGTCCAGGGTGACTTCAGGTCAGGACTTGGGGTGCCCTCTGGGATGGACGGCTGTGGGGTCCAGGTCAGAGCTGAGCTGCAGAGAAGGCTGCTCCGGCCCTTCGGTGGTGGCTTCCTCCTCATCTCTCGTTTCTGCTCCACTGAGACTCAGCAGAGGTCTCTTGAGCCCCTGGTGTGCTGTGGCAGCGTGTTGTGACCATCCTGTAGGAAGCTGTGCTTGCTGTACATGGCCTGGGCTACTGTGAGAACTCAGTCTGCAGTGGCCAGGGAGCCACCAAAGCCACAGGCCACTTCTCTGGTCACTTTTGGCCCTGACTTCAGTGGGGTCCTGAGGCTTCCACATTTGGAGGACACAGCCACTTCTCTATCCTGACTTCATCACATCCCCCCTTGGCCACCCCAGTCCTTCAGGAGCCCAGGGATGTTTTTTGTGTTTGAAACCTCTTTACAAACACTGCCTCAGTTCCTGCTGGTGCAGCCAGACTTCCGTGCTAATGGTGTCCCTGTGAGACTCCCATGTGGCCTTGAGCATTTAGTTGCCATCTCTCAGGCTTGGGGCCCTCCTTAGGTGAACCCCAAAAGGGCTCCTCTGCCCCTCCTTCAGGGTCATAGACAGGATTGGGCTCAGTCAATGAACTCGTTACTTTCTCCTGTGCAATGGCTTTGGGACATTTACATTGTCTTCCAGGCGTTTTTTTCTTTTTCTTTTTAACCATAAAATGAAGCTGGGACTGGGATTACAGAGACAATACATTTGAAGAATGAAGCTCAGCAGAGAAGTGCTGTATCAGCTGCCTGGCCACCTTTCCACTGGTTCACTCAGACAGGACACCACTTAGGTCATCTGGATGCTTCCAAGAACATCAAACTCTGACTGAGACACTGAGGGCTCCGGGCCTGCTCTCTGTGCTTCTCCTTTCCAAGCTTCCTGCTTTGCTTGTGTGCACAGCCTGAGCCTCAAACCTGGCCCCTGTGCCTTGGGCAGCAGAGCCAGTACCTGGACAAGTCCTGAGGGTTC